TAATTGATGACTTGTTTATTTTGTGGAAATTCATGATCACCTCAATGAAATGAATGAAAACACTTTTGTCAAATTTTCACTAGTTATTTTCTTTTTACGACCGGTTTCGAAGTATAAAAAGTAACTAATACTTTCGAAATCTAAAAACGTGGTTGTATAGGGAGTTTGTAGGTAAGCTGGATGGGGAGGTAATTAAAAGAACAGGAATGCCAGTTATAATAAAAATTCAACACTGGAGATTATAGAAGATACCGGAGTAATTGGAAATGGAAATTAATAAATCAATAAATAACCCGAAATATATTACCCTAAACGATCAACTCGATTTATGTAGGTCACCACTCTTGAATTTATAAATTTGACAACTCCTTGCATCTCAAATTAGGCCGCAAAGGCTTCGTCATTAATTCATATTTTTAGGGTAGTAAAGCACTATTGGGTCTAGGGAAAATTGCAATATCTCAGGCTGTGCAGGTATGTGATACAGTCAGACTATTAGGTCAGATCAAAGCATGACGTCATCTTGTTTTTCAGCGAAAATTGGAAATATCCCAGATATACGTTGTGATGTGATACGTTGAAAAGTGCTTTCAATAGAAAGGATTGGAAATTTCAATCGAAATTCAATAGTAAAAACATTTTGGGGTATTTAATGGAAAAAATAATCATCAATGGTCATTGCGACTGTTCCACATTTTTGTTACTCGCCGTGAACATAAAACTTTAAAAGTTTTTCCAGATTCGTTATACCTACCAAATCATTTAACAACATTGAATGGTCAACTACATTTTTCACTCTTTAAGCGACTGAATTATGTACGCCTATCGAACAGCAATTCGAAAATGATTTATTACTCCGCTGCTGAAGGAAATATAGTATAGTACGGTGTTATACATTTGAAGTGGAATATTGAATATTTCTCCGAATTTTATTGAGTTTTCATCGAAGGTTTGCAGCATAGCAATCAAATAAATCAAAACATATTACTTACTGGTATGGGTTTCATTACGGGATCGAAGGAACCAGCTCGTTTTCCGAATCTGAGACGAAGTTGTGGACCTCTTGCTCGCCTTTCAACTTGATGGCGTCCTAGCTCATCATTCAATTTCTCTTGTTGTAAGAGTAGTTCATAGAGGTCATTTATATCTGAAAATATAATATCGTTTAAGATATAGAAAAAATTTGCCGCGCTTGCGTGAGAGAGGTTGAGTTTTATAATGCAGAAATAATTGAATGGAAAATATAAATCAAAACAGTTATCGTTAGATCAGTTATCAATAGGTTTTGACGTTATCATTTCGACGGAAATATAAGGACTTGAAAATCTATCCCTTTTGAAACTAAAGGGTTATGTCCAATTTTATAATGAGGGTCAGCTCAATGAAAATGATGACATTGGTTTCATTGAAGGCAACCAAAACTTCCTAGCCGATAAGACTCGAATTGGTGAAATTGCAGTAACTAAAATTTCAATTTCGAATGAGATGAAGATATCGGGAAAGAAAGTTTTTGGCTTTCTTCTACTCCATCTTGATACAAAAAAATTGAGAATCTTCAAAAGAAAGGAAGGGAACAATCAATTCTAAAAGAAGTAACTTTATACATAGATGTATAGACCTTTCCAGAACTTTTGAAACCGTATATCACAAAATCTTCTGAGAAAACTGAACAGTGATTGCATCAAGATGGGGTAGTGGAAATCCAAACATTTTCTTTCCCAAAAATTAGTTACTCTAACCCTTTCTACAGTACAGCCATTTATCGCTCTCCTAGAACGTGTTCAAAACTCTTTATTTCTGATCTATTGAAAAACTTAGAACAACAAGGTCAAAATGATGTCGATGTTATCACAGGTGATCTTAATATAAATCAATTGGGTGATAACGATTCTGTCGAAAAATACAAAACTATAATGAGTAATTCTGGTTACAATTTCTTTGTAAATGATTGTACTATATTGCCAAGCCACTTCGATCATTTCTTCATAAGATACAAAATTAACAAAACAGAAAAAAAAATCAAATCTCTCAT